TTGCCAACTTGCTTAAATGGATTCCGCATATGCACTAACCCGGTCAAAGCGCCGGACATTCGCATTTTATCCACTCAATTTCGTGAACAACACCCCACACCACAAGAAGACAGTGATTAAATCTACCATGGTAGTGGGTGTATATGCGTGTCCATGTGAGAGCATTTCGAGAGGCAGAGCTAATTCTCCCCACCATCGGCCGTACCAGGGTATTTGGGCGATGAAATGAAATATTCAAGAGATCATTCTTTAGTTATTCACCACTTATCGGTTATTTTGACAAGTTTGGCAAACTTTCGAAAATATCGGACTGAGAAGTTGAGGGACTTATTCAACCATTTTATGCATACATATTGTGTAGAACATTTCATGCATATTACTATGCTTTATTGTATCTGTGAGCTTCGTATGTTGTACACATATTTTCCTTTATATTTCAGGCTTATAGATTTACTTATTGGATTAATAAACATATTGATTAAGAAACTACATTCTACATCCACAATGAGCATTCTGTTCACGGTTATAACGGTCAGTTGAATATGGTTTTAATAGTACATTCATGATGGTTTTATCGAACTATCGTTTGGATTTAGTTTAGTGTTGTTTCAGTCAGCTACAACGTTTGACCGGACACACATATGCATCGTTATTAGTTGCACACCTCATTAGCACAGCACGATAAATTCGGGTTTCATAGGAGTGGTTAAGTCAATAATAGTAATATATAAAATAAAGATCGTATATAAGGATATGGTACACGATGAAGGAAGTATTTCGTAGAAATAAAGCTATGATGTGATTCTGATCTCATATTTAAAGGGATGAAAGCGAGTGTATACACCTACGACATTGAGATCGCTTCTGACCATGTCACCACGAGTTTCCGACCATCGGATAAGATAGTCACGCGGCCTAAACTAGCAGTTAGTTCCTTCAAGCACTGATGTCACGTTTTGGTTTGGCCGCACACCACAGTTCTTCCAACCATCTTCAACACCGGTTAGCACTGCACGTCGTAGTAATCGGTATTCAGGAACACGTAACACGTGACCCAACCATCTCAGTCGATGAAGATTCACAACCTCACCAACTGATTTAACATCATTTCCTAACACCCTCTGTCAAACATCACTACAACTTACCAGTGAAACAAGTAGATGTGAGCAATATTTCTAAGGCGTCTGTGATCAGTTAGTAGTAGCTAACTCATCGGGGCTGATCAGAATTCCAAGATGAGTGGAGTTGTTAACGCGTTCCACTACTCAACTCCCTATCCTTAGTTCAGGTTTTGACGCAGACCGGTCATGAAGCAATAACTCACATTTCGAAGGAGAGAGACAGATGTCAAAACATCCTGGCATGGTTGCTTACTGCCACCAAAATACTTTGTATTTTATCAGCGTCCTCACCAAACAGTAGTATGTCATCTGGGTATTCTAAGTCGATAAGTGTACCTCGTGGTAGGACATCAATGCTACTTATAATGCAACTTATCTACCAATCTAAATTCATGCTTAATTCATACACTTTGATAGAAATCGACAAACTTACATGGAATTATTCGAATGTTCAGTATTACTAATGATCCATCCAATAAAATTACACAAATTTATAACGAAACTCATTAATTACTTCATTGAACTTTGGTTAAGCGAACATTGTACAAAACAACAGAATAAGTGATTTGGTCACAAATTGATCTGATGCAAAAGAGACAATTTATGATTTGATTTACTCATTGTGAGTTTTCGTTCCGTTTTGATTCAATGTTATAATTACTCAATGTATTATTTGTTATATTGTCTGGAATGATAAATTATTCTGTATAATATGAGACATGAACTTTGTTCAGTATGTGATTTACACCCATAATTATTAATCAAAATGGGTGTACAATGAGTATATGAATGAGTGTACTTTCTACTAGAATCATTGTCGTCGTCGTCATAGTGTTTTAATGTTACGTAATAATCACTTATACCAGTCCTTGTGTTCCTACATTCGCGTCGTCATAATTGCAGAGGTCCCTCGTTCCGAGTATAAGTGATCAGCATATTTCAAACATAACAATCAGCGACCACCAGATACAAAATTTCGAATATTCCATAGATCCTAACAAACTGTAGTGAAATTTGATACGACGACAACGATTTTCCTAATAACAGTCGCAGATAGCTTAACTTGTAAACGAACGTTACTAATCATGAATAAATCAACACTTGACTCAGTGTACAGCTGACTACGGTGAACCGAACACAACAGGAACATGTAGGTCAAATTCACCTATTTCATGTTACTAATGAAACGGACTTCGTAAATAATAATTAGTCATGAAAGTCAAACTGTTTATATCAATTACAATATCTTCCACAAAATTATTCAATCTCCACATTTGAACTCAATTGATTCTAAACACTTCCATTGTCGAGCACCATGTGTGTTCTCGTTCACTACATTACTAATGTGAAATGTATATTATCGTGAGAGCAAAAAGAAGTATGGTAAAACAGTTACTCTTTCAAGTTTTAAACTTTGTTGACCAGAATTAACGAACTATTTGTTGCTTGAGATCTATGTCTATGTAAGCAGTAGCACAGCACTATTGATAGTAGATAGATAGATAGATAGATAAAATGATTGTTGTGTTTCTTCTTAATCTGGAGGTCGAAAACATTAGCTAGTAATGAGAGAAGTCATAGTGTAGTAAAATCTAGAATAATCTCGCTCATAACCTACGAGTTCAAAGTAAACATGTGGAATGATGTCATTATTGTTAACTTAAACAGCGACTGATGGGATAGCCTATTGTCATGCTAAAAGAAAGATTTATTGTGTAAGTCTAATAAGTAATGTATCAGGTCACTGATTACTGTATTCCGAATTATACCACTTAAACATCTCACCGTGTTTGCAATTCTTCCATGGTAGTTTAGCCTCAATTGACTCGCGATCTAAACTTATAAGAAATTGTTTTAAAACAGATATGCAACTCGATGTGATGCGTAAGCCTTCAGTTGTAACGATATCTTGTGTGTGTTGGAACGTTTCATGTAATGTCTATTTAACATTAACTGATAGCATGAAGTTAGCAATAATTTCTTCAATTTCACCGTTATAATCAACAAGTAGAAGTCTGAGGCTCTCAACATCTTTGAGTATTTTATGGGTCTGCTGAAAATCGACGACGATTATGGAAACAAGGACGACGGCTACGATGAACCTCGATGAAAATTTGGACATGGGATCGAAATCTAATTGAAACTATCTTTTACCGTATGTCTTGATCTCAGATCTATTCGCAGCCTGCAGCTTTAGTATGCGGTCAGGTGTGCTTTATCAAGTGTAGTAGGTGGTACTGTACTAATTTCCGCTCCGGTGTCGACTAAGAACTGTGTTACAGTTCTTTTGTCTGTGACATATAACAAACGAATTACTTGAGAGTTGTGGCCGGAGACCGCAGTCATCACTAGACGTCGGACTTCACTTTTTCTTTGCTATGTGTTTGCAAGGTTACGGGGAGAAGTAAACTTTTGCTTTGCTTACCATACGTTCTGTAGAACAAACAAGTGTTATGTCGAGTGTTGCTTGGAATACAACGTCTACTTCATCAGGACCTTCCTCCAATAAGTAACACGTAAACACCACATGGTTGTATGTTTTTTCCGTAACTGATTTTCATACACCCGTTATACTACTTAAACATCTCAAGTAGTTTGACTACATTTAATCAGTTTCAGTGGTTGAGATTATGAGTCAAATGAATTGTAGCTAAACCACTATGGGAAACCTGGAAACACTGGAAGGCCGTTTTGTTCTATTGTGGGACTACTCATCGGCCTTGGGCATCCACAATCCCGCCTCGCTTATACGAATCCAGGACATATCAGTCTTACGCGCGAGCGCCTAACCACTAGTCCATAGAGGAGTCGCACAATAGGACGGAATGGCCGTCCAGTGGTTTTAGTTTGTTCATGGTTGTCTAGCTTCAATTAACTCATGATGTCAAACATTGAAATTACTGCAGTATTAAGGAAAACCCTTCTGATACACTTAATTACTAGTGGATTTTATCTAAGGATTTAAATAGTCTCACTATTGATGAATTGAAATGTAAACAAATACGCATTTTTGGTGGGTGGGTGGGTGGGTGGTTGAGTGTTTAAGAGATAGAGAAACAACGAAATGAACAAAACACAATTCGTTATATAATACATATATCTCACTACCTGAATATTTAAATAGTTATGTCGAAGGAATCCGCTAAGGACGAATAAATGGCACAAGAGACCAATTAATTACGGTCAAATAGACAGTGGAGTTCAGTAAGTTACTTTCATCCTATTTGGGACTCATAAGCTAGATGTACTTGTATTCAAATAGTGAATGTCCAGTTCAAAAGACACTGTATCCTACTAATAAGACAATAAATTTTCTTTGTCTACTTCCACTTGTAACTAGGGCGGTTGATGTTCTCTAGATGAACAATTGTAACCATTCAGCACTTCGTTTGGATTCACGTGGTGTAGGTGTATACACTTTCTTCCTTCTCTTAAACTATGAAATTGAAATTGCTTCATATCTTTCTTTCTACCAACTAATTCATACTTAATGTACTATGTCTTTATATACAATATTTATTTTTTGCATAATACCACCACTAAATTACTTACTTCTATGAATTCGGTGTTCGCCTTGTTGTGTTTAAGACGTATGGCAATTTCGATTGATGCATATATATGCCTGATCCTACGTTGTGACTGACTGATTGACTGACTGATTCAGCTTGAACGGTGTCGCACTTACAAAACCAATCACTCAAAAATAAGTTATTTGTCAATGTCATGATACGTGTATCTTTCTGCAATACGATCGTTGAACAAATGATTCCAGTCAATTTGGTTTGTTGTAATTTCAAGTACAATCGTAATGTGCTTCAATGTCTGTCTGCCTTTTAAACGAATATTTTCAATTCAGGAACTTAATCCAGGGGATGAACGTCTATTAACAGAACATCTATTACAAATAACAAAGTAGTTTACAGTAATCTTCAAACATATAAAAACATTCAGTGGAATAGCATCAATTCATCATGTTCAATCATTGTCTCATTCAGTTTACCAAATATTCAAATGATAACTGAAGAATAAATTTGAACAAAATTGTACACAGATAAGTAGTGCCATTAGTTCATAAAACCCCAAGAAAATAATGTATGTAAACTGTGACCGTGCTTCTTCTCTGCGTCTTCCCAAATAATATGCTGTGTATGCAATCACCTGTAATAATCAAAAACGTAAATGTATAATTCGTTAGTATCACAATATTTTTGTGGATATTATGGTAGTATTATAATACTTCGAGTGCGGGATCGATAGTTTTTGTGTTCTAATCCCGCAAGGTGGGAACATGGATGCGCATTGCCACTGAGGACGGAACGGTCTTACAGTCATCTCAGGTTTTCCATGGTTGTCTAGCTTCAAATGATTATTTCATTATTGATGTATTCATATCAACAAATTTATCACCACCCTATGTTTTGCTTTCAGCCATCCTTCAAAATACTTCAAGATGAATTCTTGTTGAATGCTCTGGTTGGAAAGCACTAATGCTTTAAAGACCTCATTTCTACAGAACCACATCTCGGAATGCATAATGATCAACGGACGATTATCTGTATTTACATTTTATTATTTATTCAGAACTTACAATTAGCATTGCACAGCACCAACAAATCCCGGATGCACCTAGTACAACATACTGGAATAAAGGAAGAAAACACTTTACTTCAATTTATCATGTATCTATATGATTATCAGTGAATAAACAGTATCACTCTACTAATTAACTCTACCGATTCTAAACTAACATGTAGCTGACTGAATGAATAACTACATTTAAGAGTTCAGTCAGTCTGTTATCCCGAATTTCGACATCATTTACACATCCTGACTCGTGTTTGACAGTTGTCTAAACAACGAATTAGTTTCTTTAATGACTGTATCATGAAACATTCAAGTTAGTGATCATTGGAGATAGAAATATTATGAAGATCAACTGGAAGAGGACAAAAGATCAAAAACTTCAACATGTCATCAGGTTCTGAGCCACAAGAAGAACCAACACAAGGAATGGACCACTGCACATACACTTGATAAGATTCAAGATAGAAGGAACAAGAAGGCAGCAATTTATATCAGCCGAACTAGAGCAGAAAAAGCCAAGGAACAAGCTGAATAAACAGAGGCGAAACAGAATGGTAGAGCACTTTAAAGATCTCTTTAATTTTCAGCCCCACTGAACCCACCCAACATCGAAGCAGCACCCACGGACCTCCCAATCAGTGTTGGCCCACCAGCAATTGAAGAAATCAGCATGGCCATCACACAAATCAAGAGTGGCAAAGCAGCAGGACCGGACAACATCCCAGCAGAGGCACTAAAAGCAGACGTAGTGGCAACTGCAAGGATACTCCACATTCTCTTCAGCAAAATTTGGGATGAGGAGCAAGTACCAACAGACTGGAAAGAAGGACTTCTGATCAAAATACCGAAGAAAGGCGCTGTCAGCAACTGTGATAACTACAGGGGCATCACTCTCTTATCAATAACAGGAAACGTCTTCGACAAGGTATTATTAAACAAAATGAAGGACTCCGTAGACGCCCAATTTCGAGATCAACAGGCAGGATTCCGTATGGATCGATCGTTTACAAACCAAATCGCAACTCTACGGATCATTGTGGAACAATCAATTGAATGGAACTCATCACTCTATATCATTTATATTGACTATGAAAAAGCATTGGATAGCATGGACAGAACAACACTATGGAAAATTCTTCGACACTACAGCGTGCCTGAGAAAGTAGTCAATATCATACAGAATTCCTGTGATGGATTTAACTGCAGAATCGTGTATAGAGGGCAGTTGACAAAATCGTTCGATGTAAAGACCGGTGTCAGGCAAGATCGCTTACTCTCACCCCTTCTCTTTCGCCTGTTCATTCACTAGATCATGAAGACGTCAACATCTGAAAGGAAACACGAGATACGGTGACAGCTAGGATGCTGCTGGACGATCTACACTTCGCAGATGATCTGGCTCTTCTATTACACATGCAACAACGAACGCAGGAGAGGAAGAGCAGAATAGCAGCAGCCTCAGCAGCATTTGGTCTCAAAATATTCGATATCGATGTCTAAATTTGGTGAAACGCGAAGCCGACGAATATGATGTTCTAGCAGACATCGTCAACAGAGAATGTGAACGGTTCAAGTTACACTCGTTGACAGAAGACCAATTTAAATTCCTAATATTCATCAAAGCTCTTCAGTCACCACAAGATGCTGAGATCAGGACTAGGCTTTTGGCTCGACTGGATCAAGACCCAAACGTCAGACTCAGAACATTGACAGATGGGTGTAAGCATCTACAAAGCATCAGACACGACAACGAACTGATTGAACAGGCGAATCCTAATTTAACCTGCAGTAGTGTCAATGCTATTACTAGGTTAAAAGTTCAGAAGCCGATAACAACTCGCAACAAACCAGCGACTGCATGCTGGTTATGTGGTGAGTGGTACTATGTACGATTCTGTCCATTTAAGAAGAATAAATGTAAGGTGTGCAACAAACGTGGACATAAAGAAGGTTATTGTCCACCGAATCGTACGTCTCGGTCCAAGAAGAAGCGTAAGCGTCCTCCTAGCATCATATCCTACAAATTTGCTCAAAGGGGAGGTGTTAGCGGAACATAGACTGGATTAAAGCATGCTAAATGCACGATTGCTTTGCTGCACGCTGATTGGCTCATTCTTATCCAATCAGCATTAGTCGATATTTGGAGAATGCTCTAGAATCTTCTCATGTAAAAGCTATAAATATACTGACGTTTTCCCTATTGTGCTTCTTACTTGCTTCTTGCTTCCATCAAACCTTATTATTTAAAATATATTCTCTTTCCTGTCCAACCGTGTTCTGATTTGGGGACTTGTATCGCTCTGACATTAGCTGCTTGCACATGTTTTACGCGTCCTCGGTCCGATCGACAATTCGCAGCTTCGGATTGTCGGCTTCGGACTGTAACAGAAATTTTTCACCGGTATTCAAGATCAGCGTATTTTATTAGAAAATCTGTAGCTATTCCAGTAAGCCATTAGCAAATCAGTAATAATCACTAATTACTACTAGTTCGTGGAAATCTATGATGAGACAAACTTACGTGGGGATGAACCACCACTTCCCGATCTGAATATGGCTTATATGGAAGTACCACCGATGTAATCAAAAGAATGAATGCATTTAACGCAAACACATACCACATCGAGAACAAGATTATCTTCACTTTTCTTTCTCCAGCTTTAACCTTTACACCAAATAAAATCGCTAAGCTGGCCAACGCGATACCCACAGTTACAGAAATAATTATTTCATGCTCTACTGAATGTAAATTTAGTAATCCAACACCAATAATCATAATTATCAACTGAATAGGGAAAAAGTAGTATCATCAAATTACCATTAGTTTTAAAGTTGAATCGGTCAACTATTGGACAATTAATGAAAGAATAATCTTCACTGTCCTGCATTTGATTGAAATGCTTAACAATGAATAGTTATGGATACAAGCATATAACAAGGAATCTATATCCATGTCTATCATAATGACAAGCTTCAAATATCTTCAAAGCTAATTCGCTCATCCATTATATGAGGCTTCTCACCTAAACGGTGTGAATTATACCAATTTGGGTAAACCAACAACTATGACAGCTAGTAATGTCTGCCAGTGGAAGCTTATAATGATGACTTGTGTATCATAGAACACAAGTTCAATGATAGAAAAAGTGTGTGTGGATGATTATACAAATGAAAATGACACAAATTCAATTTCTTTAGTTGATTTTTCTGTGTTCACAACTCATTCCACATCTTGCAAATGGTTATCACAACATACGTAGATGAGAGTAGAATGTACCGGTATTATGTGTAACCATGTCTACTTATTTCTCAATTGTCCATAACTCGGACAGACAGATACCTTTTAATGTTACATTGTTTTCGCCAGTTATCAGTTAAGTAATAGCTCATGATCCGACCGGATCATCAATATACGTCAACATTTTCATGAAATCAGTGAAACTATAAAAACTGGGTCTCTACACATGATGTCGTCTTAAAATAAAATACAACGATCAAACTCATCTATTCAAGTCAACCTTCAAAGATCACCTGATCCTGATCACCGTTATCAAACGAACATGACAACATTGATGTTTTATTCAACAAAAAACACTTAACGAAATTCAACCGATAGTTGGATGAAACTATCATGAATGCAATTGTAAAACATATTCAACTGACCGTTAAAGCCATAAAGCAAATGTTTATTATGGATGTGGAATGTAGTTTCTTAATCAATATGATTATTGATCCAATAAGTAAATCTATAAGCCTGAAATATAAAGGAAAATATGTGTACAACATACGAAGCTCACAGATACAATAAAGCATAGTAATATGCATGAAATGTTCTACACAATATGTATGCATAAAATGGTTGAATAAGTCCCTCAACTTCTCATTCCGACATTTCGAAAGTTTGTCAAACTTGTGAAGTGGAATATCTAAGGAATGATCTCTTGAATATTTCATTTTATCGCCCAAATACCCTGGTACGGCCGATGGTGGGGAGAATTAGCTCTGCCTCTCGAAATGCTCTCACATGGACACGCATATACACCCACTACCATGGTAGATTTAATCACTGTCTTCTTGTGGTGTGGGGGTGTTGTTCACGAAATTGAGTGGATAAAATGCGAATGTCCGGCGCTTTGACCGGGTTAGTGCATATGCGGAATCCATTTAAGCAAGTTGGCAAACCCTGATTCCAAATCAGTGATGTACATGAGCTACACAATCTCAAGGAAACAAATGGCAGTTGAACCAAATGTCGGTCACCAGCTGACATGGGATTTCATCTGCTGACGTTGCCTTGTGACTCCGTGTGTGGCCCCCTAACAAAACCATCAGCCTCGATCTGATCACCCGGACAATATCACAGCCCACACACAAATCAACTGATTTGTGTGGTGCATTTCTATTCTCTGACTCTTTGTATTATTATTGGAGTTGAAATAAATATATACATAAATACCTTTCAATGTGATCATGTATTGTGACGTAATGTAACACAAAGTGACGATGATTTACACTGGGAAAGAAATAAACTTGATTTCCCTTCCTCAATCATAATATTCTTGTTAAACATGGATCAAATTTCTCATCAAAGTGTATTAATCAGTGCACTGAATAATATGTCATGGTAATACATGGAAAACGATCGTTAGGATTTCTGGGTAATACCTGTATTTAAAACATATATTACTTACATTAATATGAAACCAATGAGAACAACTGGTTCTTTAAATCCAGAAAAGTGTTCAAAGCTGAGTGTGTTAAATGGAATGATAAATGCCTTACATGCAAGGAGAACTTTCATCAATCATCATGTTTTAACTAATTGCAACGAAGGTATGTCAACAATTCAACTTTGGAAATTCTCCTTCCACAATCACTAATTCCCACTTGAACTGAAATTAGTAAAGATTCACAATAATACAGTAATGGAGATAATCAATTTCACGGATTAAATAAAAACTTTAATATTTATTCACATGCCTACTTCTTTCTTCATTCAATGTTTTTCAACAAGTTTGGATTGATGGACAGAATTTGAATTCCATCTGAATAGTTTGCTGTATCATCTTTACGAGAATAATAAAAAACATTGAAAGCCGATGAAAATTTATTTCATTAGATTCATGTTATCTGTGACTTTAAGTCATCAAAGTTATCGAACTCAATCCAGTGAAGATAATTAACACTGACTAATTACTTACTTACTTACTTACGCCTGTTACTCCCAATGGAGCATAGGCCGCTGACCAGCATTCTCCAACCCACTCTGTCCTGGGCCTTCTTTTCTAGTTCCATCCAATTCTTGTTCATTTTTCTCATGTCTATCTCCATTTCTCGGCGTAATGTGTTCTTTGGTCTTCCTCTTTTCCTTTGACCTTCAGGATTCCATGTGAGGGCTTGTCTTGTGACGCAGTTGGGTGCTTTCCTCAATGTGTGTCCTATCCACTTCCAGCGCTTCTTCCTGATTTCTTCCTCCGCTGGGATCTGGTTTGTTCTCTCCCACAGTACGTTGTTGCTAATAGTGTCCGGCCAATGGATCTGAAGTATTTTGCGTAGACAACTGTTAATAAACACCTGTATTTTCTGGATGATGGCTTTTGTAGTTCTCCAGGTTTCTGCCCCATACAGTAGAACTGTCTTGACATTTGTATTGAAAATCCTGACCTTGGTGTTGGTTGACAGTTGCTTTGAGTTCCAGATGTTCCTCAGTTGTAAATATGCTGCTCTTGCTTTGCCGATCCGCGCCTTCACATCTGCATCAGATCCACCCTGTTCATCAATGATGCTGCCCAAATACGTAAAGGTTTTTACATCTTCCAAATCTTCTCCGTCAATTGTGATTGGATTGGTGCATTCTGTGTTGTATCGGAGAATCCTGCTTTTCCCTTTGTGTATATTGAGACCTACTGCTGCTGAGGCTGCTGCCACACTGTTCGTCTTCTCCTGCATCTGTTGTTGCGTTTGGGATAGAAGGGCCAGATCGTCTGCGAAGTCTAGATCATCCAACTGCATCCTAGATGTCCATTGTATCCCGCGATTCCCTTCAGACGTTGACGTCTTCATGATCCAGTCGATCACCAGGAGAAAGAGAAAGGGTGAGAGTAAGCAACCTTGCCTAACACCGGTCTTCACTTCGAACGACTTTGTCAACTGTCCTCCATGCACGATTTTGCAGTGTAATCCATCATATGAATTCTGTATGATATTGACTATCTTCTGAGGCACGCCGTAGTGTCGAAGAAGTTTCCATAGTGTTGTTCTGTCCACGCTATCAAATGCCTTTTCGTAGTCAATGAAGTTGATGTAGAGTGATGAATTCCATTCAATTGATTGTTCCACAATGATCCGTAGAGTTGCGATTTGGTCTGTACACGATCTATCCTTACGGAATCCTGCCTGTTGGTCACGAAGTTGGGCGTCTACGCAGTCCTTCATCCTGTTTAACAATACCCTGTTGAAGACTTTTCCCGGTATTGAGAGAAGAGTGATGCCCCTGTAGTTATCACACTTGCTGAGATCGCCTTTCTTCGGTATTTTGATCAGAAGTCCTTCTTTCCAGTCTGTTGGTACTTGTTCCTCATCCCAAATCTTATTGAAGAGAATGTGGAGTATCCTTGCAGTTGCCGCTACGTCTGCTTTTAGTGCCTCTGCTGGGATGTTGTCCGGTCCTGCTGCTTTGCCACTCTTGATTTGTCTGATGGCCATGCTGATTTCTTCAATTGTTGGTGGGCCAACATTGATTGGGAGGTCCGTGGGTGCTGCTTCGATGTTGGGTGGGTTCAGTGGAGCTGGTCGATTCAAGAGTTCTTTGAAGTGTTCTACCCACCTGTTTTGTTGCTCTTCAATGTTGGTGATTACCTTGCCTTCCTTGCTTTTCACTGGTCGTTCTGGTTTGCGGCGATTTCCAGAGAGTTTCTTTGTCGTGTCATACAATTGTCTCATGTTTCCTTCTCTTGCAGCCTTTTCCGCCGTCGTTGCTAAATCTTCCACATATTTACGTTTGTCGGTTCTGATGCTCCTCTTCACTTGTTTGTTTATTTCCGTGTATTCAGCTTGTGCCTTGGCTTTTTCTGCTCTTGTTCGGCTGGTATTGATTGCTGCCTTCTTGTTCCTTCTTTCTTGAATCTTATCCAGTGTATCAACAGTGATCCATTCCTTGTGGTGGTGCTTCTTGTGACCCAGGACCTCATGACATGTTGAAGTGATTGCCTCTTTGATCCCCTTCCAGTTGCTCTCCACAGTAGTTCCTTCTCCATTGAGTAGATCATGAAAGGCCTGGAACTTGTTGCTGAGGACTATCTTGAATTTGTTGAGTTTGTTAGTATCCTGGAGAAAGGCCGTATTGAACTTTTGTGATATTGTCCGCCCCGTTGTCCAGTGCTTCTTGAGTTTCAATTTCATCTTGGCGACCAGCAAGTGATGATCTGATGCTATATCAGCTCCTCTCTTGGTTCTCACGTCCTCTATAGTCCTCCTGAACGTTTTGTTGATGCAAATATGGTCGATTTGGTTTTGTGTAGTGTGATCCGGTGAAGTCCATGTGGTTTTGTGTATGCGTTTATGTGGGAATATGGTGCCGCCTATGACCAGCTTATTGAAGGCACATAGATTTGCAAATCTCTCACCATTTTCGTTTCTTTCTCCCAGTCCGTGTCGTCCCATGATGTCTTCATATCCAGTGTTGTCCGTTCCAACCTTGGCGTTGAAATCTCCCATCAGAATGGTCAGGTCCTTTGTTGGGCACTTCTCGACGATTGACTGCAGCCTATTGTAGAATTGATCTTTAGCGTCTTCATTGTAGTCGTTGGTAGGCGCATAGCATTGGATGATGTTCATTGAAATGCCCTCTTTCTTTGTTTTGAACGAGGCTTTGATGATCCTTGGTCCATGAGATTCCCATCCTATAAGTGCATTTTGCGCTTGTTTGGACAGCATCAATGCAACTCCTTGTGTATGTGGTGCATTTTCTTCTTCATGGCCGGAGTATAACAGGAGCTCTCCTGTAGTTAGTCGTTGTTGTCCAACTTGTGTCCAATGTGTTTCACTGATCCCAAGTACCTCTAGGTTGTATCTTCTCATTTCTGCAGCAATTTGGAAGGCTCTCCCGGTGTCCCACATTGTACGAACATTCCATGTACCTAAATAAATGGTCGCTCTGGTTGTCAGAAGGGGCATCGGCCTCGTAACTTCCGAAGGAATTCGGCTTTCATCATGAGGCGTCATAATTCTTCTAAATGAAGACCTTCTGACTCCCAGGGCAGAGTTTAAAAGGTTTGAATAATTTTTTCTGGTTAGCGTTTTTTTAGCGAGTTAGTTTTCTACGGGATGGGGACGCTAACCCCATGCCCAACCCTCCTCCTTTATCCGGGCTTGGGACCGGCAGTAGCCCCCGGAGGGACTCCAGGCGGAGTTAACACTGACCAGTGCATCCATCCAAATAAATAAATCTCAATAGAAGTATGTTATTGCTTATGTTAAGCTGTGATATATTTTTGATTAAAAAGTGAATGTCATACAATCGAAGCATGATCGATCTTCCATCTTCTATGGAAAACACTTCGCTAAGTAGACTAATGATCCAGATGTGTATATTACAAATCAGGATTTCTGCCTCTTCATATCCTCGTGAGATGAATGAGTTTTCGCACTTCAGTAATGCTTCCAAATGTCAAGTTCTTACAGTGTGTGATGAATCCTTTGGAAAAATTATAAACATGGTTGTGGATTGACATTGAAAATCTTGCAAACTGCTGACAAGTGATGTCGTATAAAATATTTACCATATATTTCATCTTGTACATCTTGTAGTAGAAAAAGGCATCAATACTTGAGAATTTGTGAAAACATCTCTTGTATTTGTTAAAACATTAGTTAGAATCATTTGTGCTGAGAGTTGTATTTTGCTCAGATACCATGTTTTGGTTTGGCCGTCCCTAACATACTTCCGACCATCCTCAAAACAAGTCAGCATTGCGCATCGTCATAATCGGTATTCAGAAATACGGAGTAGGTGTCTCAACCATCTTAGTCGATGAGAATTCACAAGCTCGTTAATTGATTTAAGTTCATTTCCTAATACCCTGCGTACAGCATGAATCCTACATACTCAGTGATACCAGTAGATGTGAACAATAATTCTGAGGCATATGTGATAAATTACTAAAATCTTACAAATATCTTTTACTCTTAGTGATCACATTTCACAGCCGTTTACTAGAAAAGAACGGATTGCATATTCTAAGTCGATTAGAATACCTCCTGCTTTTAAGACAAGTTATCAACAAATCTAAATTCATGCTTAATTCATACACTTCGATAGAAATCGACAAACTTACATGGAATTATTCGAATGTTCAGTATTACTAATGATCCATCCAATAAAATTACACAAATTTATAACAAAATTCATCAATTGCTTCATTGAACTTTGGTTAAGCGAACATTGTACAAAACAACAGAATAAGTGATTTGGTCACAAATTGCAAAAGAGAGACAATTTATGATTTGATTTACTCATTGTGAGTTTTCGTTCCGTTTTGATTCAATGTTATAATTACTCAATGTATTATTTGTTATATTGTCTGGAATGATAAATTATTCTGTATAATATGAGACATGAACTTTGTTCAGTATGTGATTTACACCCATAATTATTAATCAAAATGGGTGTACAATGAGTATATGAATGAGTGTACTTTCTACTAGAATCATTGTCGTCGTCGTCATAGTGTTTTAATGTTACGTAATAATCACTTATACCAGTCCTTGTGTTCCTACATTCGCGTCGTCATAATTGCAGAGGTCCCTCGTTCCGAGTGTAAGTGATCAGCGTATTTCCGTCATAACAATCAGCGATGATCAGATACAAAAGGTAGCATTGAAAAAGCCAAGATAATAAGCATTCAAAGGACAAATTATAACAGAAATACAACAGACTTATTAAAATGTTGGTGTATTGAAAATGAGTACGTGATAGCACTTTGAAATGAAAATAATCAATGATCTAATTGGTCTGATAAGCTCATTAACTGGACATAGTCTCCACAGAGCCTGGATGTCAGATAAGGCACTATATATTTCTATTCCTTGATAATATGATTAGTTTCTGTGGTCGAAATTCACACATCTTGTAAACTATGAACTACTCACTCTCTTTCTCTCTATGTACATAGGCTGAATATTTGTATACAGGAATGCTGTATGTCAACACCTTGAACTTTTCTGCTTCTTACAACTTGGCTTATTGGATTGGTTATGTGCTTGTTTACTCACAAGGACACTTCACCAATTAGCTCGCTCTTAACTTACTGGTTAAAAGTAGACAGATGTCACTTAGTTAAACTGATGGTTGAAATGGCATGGTACAGAAGTAATCACTGTCGACGATTGTGTATTACAAATTCCTAAGAGAATTTTCACTACTGATCAACGTAGAAATGAATACGTAAGTAAAACTTCAAAAGAAATCTATGTGACTTAATATAACACATGAGATTGTTTTCTTAATAACTAACCTGTTCTATGGTTTCGTGAACTAATTCAACCATTTCTAATCACGAAATCAAGGTTCTATCTAATGAATGAACAGTCTATTAGGCTTCATGTCACACAAATAATTAATATGCTCTAACAATCAGTACTGTAAGAGAATTCCTATCAACTGATATGAATACATCATGACTACGTCAAGTTGAATATTCCGTAGATCCTAACAAACTGTAGTGAAATGTGATACTAAGCTAATGATTTTCCTAATAACAGTCGCAAATAGCTTAACGCGTAAACGAACGTTACTAATCATGAATAAATCAACACTTGACTCAGTGTACAGCTGACTACGGTGAACCGAACACAACAGGAACATGTAGGTCAAATTCACCTATTTCATGTTACTAATGAAACGGACTTCGTAAATAATAATTAGTCATGAAAGTCAAACTGTTTATATCAATTACAATATCTTCCACAAAATTATTCAATCTCCACATTTGAACTCAATTGATTCTAGACACTTCCATTGTCGAGCACCATGTGTGTTCTCGTTCACTACATTAATAATGTGAAATGTATATTATCGTGAGAGCAAAAAGAAGTATGGTAAAACAGTTACTCTTTCAAGTTTTAAACTTGGTTGACCAGAATTAACGAACTATTTGTTGATTGAGATCTATGTCTATGTAAGCAGTAGCACAGCATTATCGGTAGTAGATAGATAGATAAAATGATTGTTGTGTTTCTTCTTAATCTGGAGGTCGAAAACATTAGCTAGTAATGAGAGAAGTCATAGTGTAGTAAAATCTAGAATAATCTCCCTCATAACCTACAAATTGAAGCTAAACATCGAGAATTCCTTCGAACAATTGGCCGTATGCTGTCATTATTGTGTATTTAAATAACAACTGATGGGAAACGTATTGTCATTTTAATAAAAGAATGCACTATTGTGTAAGTCCAGTAAGTAGTATATCATGATCACTGGTTGTTGTATACCGGATCATACTACTTAAACATCTCAAGTAGTTTGACTAAAGTTCAATGGTTGAGATCATGTTTCAATTAAAGCTAGACACTTAAGGGAAACCTGAAGGCACAGGACGGCCGTTTCTTCCCAGGATGGGACTCCTCTGCACTGCGTATACACGATCCTGCATTACAGGATTCCAACTCACGATCTAACTCTGCCCCGGTGTCGACCAAGAACTGTGTTACATTTTTTTTGTTTGTGACATATAACAAACGCCTTACTTGAGAGTTGTGGCCGGAGTACGCATTCGTCACTAATCGTCGGCCTTCACGTTTTGTTTGCTATGTGTTTGCAAAGCTACAGGGAGAAGTAAACGTTTTGCTTTGTTTAACGCACCTTCTGTGGTACCAACAATCGTTATGTCGAGTGGTGCTTGGACTACGATGTCTACTTCTTCTGCACCTTCCTCCACACTTGCAGTGGTGGTTATTCGAAAATTGTACCAGGCCTATCTGTTTAGTGAGGACGTTGACTGTTTCTTCGTAACTCGGCGATTTCCTAACTTGAGTTTGTTTGTATGTGCGACACCGAGTGAGTTGTGATCCTCTCGAGAATTCTACCGATTATGTCCGCTAGTCTATCAAAATCGATATCTTCGTCTCCAATTACTAGTATCCATGGAATAGTTTGTGTGAGACACCTGAGCCACAATTGATATAATAGACATTTATCTACTATACCATTCCCCAATTCATTCGTCATGTGGCTCTACAATGGCTAAAAGTTGATCAATTGTCTGTTGGTCGGTGGCAGATGTAACACGAATGACCTCTTTTCTAAGCAATCTTATGGTGAGTCTGGATCCGGCTTCAAAATGACGTCACGCACTTGTTCAATAAAAACGTCTGACAGCAACAAGTTTGCGTATCTAAATTTCGTGTACTGACTCATGATTCTCTTTGCAACAAAAGAGTTTGCTAAGCGTGCAAATCATAGTTCAGCATTTCGAGTGTACAGAGATGGCACCCACAGAAATACACTTAGATGAAGGTCTTAGCGAATTGTCAAGCGGCATGATACGAACAAATAATAACAATAGCAATAATGGTAATAAGCTGAGCATCGAAATATACAATATGAGGAAATAACAAACAACAACTGGAAACGTTGATGAGAGGCTCACCGAGTTGTTTATCATATGATTGGAAAATATGCAGCAGACTTTGTGGATAAATACATTTATGTTCTAAATGCAGTTCACCAAATTTGTTCACATTAATTTCCTCTACATCTTTCTCCAATAAAATAGTATTCCATTTAACTGAGTATTTAACCCACTAGAATGATGGATTCGCTCAAGATTTTCAAAAGCCCGAACACATCAGTTATAGAAATAGTTTATTGTTAAATGCACAAGGGTGCAGGAAGCAACTACACGAGGTAATGAGTGTGTGTGTGTGTGAGTGAGTGAGTGAGTGAGTGAGTGAGTGAGTGAGTGAGTGAGTGAGTGAGTGAGTGAGTGAGTGAGTGAGTGAGTGAGTGAGTGAGTGAGTGAGTGAGTGAGTGAGTGAGTGAGTGAGTGAGTGAGTGCTTAAAAATCCACATATATATTTATGAATATTGATCAATGGTGGATAGATTATTGATTATGTGTATGTTGAATCCAATGAGAGAATAGATTAAGGATGATAGATGTACAGACAGACATGTGCCTAACCAGACTCACATACAAATTTGCATAGTAGATCAAGTGTCTAAAAGACAATGAACAGACAAATAATACAATGAGCTTACTACAAGATGGGGTATGTTTAGCAATGGAATCCAAGATGATAGTTTGGTCCTATTTGCGACTCATTAGCTAAATGGATCTGCATTCAAATTGATATTCACTCCAGGATGTGAACCTAGTACCCTTCACTTCGAACGCTCAATGTCTTATTTACTTTATTTCTGGTGAGCGTTTTTTTAGTTAGTTTTCTACGAGATGGGGTCGCTAACGCCATGCCAAACCCTCCTCCTTTATCCAGACTTGATACTAACAGTAACTCTAGAAGAATGTCTACAATGTCTTACTTACTCATTATAATTCAGTCAAAATATTAACAATCGGATAATATAAACCATGATAAGTTGAATCAAAATCCAATTCTAGCAACATTTCATCCATTCTTATCCGTATTTGTATATTTTATATCCATTAAAATAGACAATATGGAACTTTTTAATGGATCCTTTAACTATATACACTGAAAAATGTTCGAGAACAAAACAATGAGAATGATAGATGATTCTGTTGATAGAGATTTCTCCACAAAACGAGTCCAACTGATGACTTTACAAAGAAATAACTGGATCACCAGTATACAAAACATCTTAGAAATGTGATATGTACCGCAGATGGAATGAATGTTTTGAATCTAATCTCATTTTTGTGTTAGTTTAGTTATCAATGTTATATCCCGACGAGAATTGTGAACGGTAATTTAATGGACCAATACGACACATATATCTTGTATTGTATAATTGTTAAGTAACTAAACTATGCATATTCATGTTCCTCCTATTAGAAGCTTTATTTTCGCTCATAGATCATTATTATTGTACGATATACCGTTCTTGAGTTATGCCCAGTCTATAAATTACAGTCTCCCACATTCACAGTCACTTTTGGCTAGATCTTGTATGAATGTGTATTTTCTGTATTTTATGGTAAGATGTGGTCTATTTGGGTTGTATATAAATCCAGTATGTTTAAAATACATTATTCATACTGTAAAAGCTGAGATTGATGTTCTGCACTCAACAGGCAGGAGGAAAGTTTTATAAAGACTCTAGATTCCTCTTACAGGTTTTATGCGTCCTTGATCCAGTCGATAAGCTGTTGTTCTCTAATTGGCAGTATCATTACGTTATACATAAAGTAGGGCACAAATTATAACAATTAGTAGTTCAACAAATACATCTCTATTAAAGGTAATTATAAGATATAGTAATTTCTTAATCACGGAGGTTGTAAAGTAGTTCAATACTTAAAAATATTTTTTGTTATACATTTAGTATCTGTATACCTTCGTAATCAGATCATTAGACTATAGAGTGTTAATATTAATCGATAAAATGACTAAATCTGAATGTACTTACTTACTTACTTACGCCTGTTACTCCCAATGGAGCATAGGCCGCCTTCCAGTATTATCCAGCCCACTCTATCCTGGGCCTTCTTTTCTAGTTCCATCCAATTCTTGTTCATTCTTCTCATGTCTATCTCCATTTCCCGGTGTAATGTGTTCTTTGGTCTTTCTCTTTTCCTTTGGCCTTGAGGATTCCATGTGACGGCTTGCATTGCGACGCAGTTGGATGCTTTCCTTAATATGTGTCCTATCCACTTCCAGCGCTCCTTCTTGATTTCCTCCTCGGCTGGGATCTGGTTTGTTCTCTCCCACAGTAGGTTGTTGCTGATAGTGTCGTGTCTGGCCAACGGATTTGAAGTATTTTGCGTATACAGCTGTTAATAAACACTTATATCTTCTAGATGATGGCTTTCGTAGTTCTCCAAATTTCTGCCCCATACAGTAGAACTGTCTTGACATTTGTATTGAAAATTCTGACATTGGTGTTGGTTGACAGAGAGTTGTTTTGAGTTCCCGATGTTCTTCAGTTGTAGGTATGCTGCTCTTGCTTTGCTGATCTGCGCCTTCACATCTGCATCAGATCCTCCGTGTTCATGAATGATGCTGCCCAGATATGTAAAGGTTTTTACATCTTCCAAATCTTCGTCAAATGTGATTGGATTGGTGCATGCTGTGTTGTATCGGAGAATCTGAATGTATTCTGATTTAATCAAAATGAAGATATTTTATTTATTTATTTAAACACATAAATATTGGTACATGCAGGCATCAAATAGATATGCGCCACAAAGATCTCATTTGATATTTGTGAGAGCTGTGATACTGCCCGGGTGCTCAAACCGAAGCAGGTGGGTTTCTTAGGGGGCCACACCCCGAGCCTTCGACCTGCAGGTCTAATCCACAAGACAGTGGAGTAACGTCAGGAGATGCAGTCGAATGGTAGCCGGTGATCAACAATTGGTTCATACACCATTAGTTCCTTCAGGATCCTCGAGACCATGTGCACCATTGGTTTGGAATCAGGGTTTTCCAACTCCCCTAGGTAAACTCTCTGTGTCCACGAACCCGGTTAGAGCGACGGACATTCGCTTTTCGTCCTCTCAATTTCGAAAACAACACTCCCGCCGATATTCAGGGGTTCAACAATTCATAGCTGCCTATACAGTGTAAATATATTTATTCTAAAGTAACCTCAGAAAGAAACTGAGCTATTGTTAATGGCTGTGTTGACTTGAGCATGACCACAGAAGTAAGCTGTTAAAGATGTAGAATATTCATGTGACAATGAAATTAAGAGTTTATACATGTATATTTGTTGTTTGGATCTGTTCATTGGACTGCAATTGATTAGTCTGTTTCGACGTATATGGATTCTACGTTGATGTCGCCATTAAGTCAGAGGCATTATAATCAGAGAGGTATGGTGACTAGCAGTGGAATCCAAGACACATATTCCATACTGCTTGGGACTCGTCAGCTGGATGAACATACACCCCAAAGTTGATGCTTACCCTGTGTCCGAGTGCTGGATTTCACTGCTAGCCACCATCCATCTCCGCTTAATGTGAGTTTATACATTTGAAAATTACACTGCTGACACTAGAAATTTATTGGGTAAAGATGAATGAAATAATCTTAAAAACTGACAGGTAGTCTACACCTACCAACATGACTCAGTTCACTTGTCAGTGACTTCATGGATTAGTGCTATGTTTTGGTCTGGCCGCCCCTATCTTTCTTCCAACCTACTCCTACATCATAAAACATCGCACGTCGGGAAGTCGGTCGTTGGGCATACGTAGCACGCGTCTCAGCCATCTCAACTGATGAAGTTTCACTACGTCATCAATTGATTTGCCATCCTTACCTAGTACCACCCCCGAATGCCCTGGTACGGCCGAGAGTGGGGAGAGTCCGCTCTCTCTCTCTCTCGAAATACTCTCACACGGTCGCATCGTGTATCCGGGCACAGAAATGATAATGCAATTGGTGTCACCATCTTGAAACACCGACGTCGGTGACTTGGACATGTTCTACGAATGTCGTCCCACAGAATTCCACGTCGTGCATTATTTGCCGACTCTGGGACTGGTTGGAAGAAGCGGAGAGGTGGTCAGTGCATGACATGGTGTCGTGGTATGAAAGAAAGCTACAAAGGACTGGCTTCTGTCGGTCCTCCACGGCTCCCTGGTTGGGGTCCGAGAGATGGTGCTACACAGTGGTTAGAGACGTTATCAGATATGGCTCAGAATAGAAGCCAGTGGCGATCCTGCTGTAACCTTCTTTTACTTTCTTCATAAAAAGTGGTTGTGTCTCCCTTACCTGAAAGATTTCTTCTGATTGTACCTTTCTGTTCCCTCATTTCTACCATACTACCATACACCAATCTCTTCGTTATTGTTCTCTTTTTCTTTTTGCGCTCCTTAGTTTTTTTTTCTATTTCTCTTCGAATTCTCATTGTTTTGTGTGGCGCATATATATTGGCGCTCTCTTGTACCAATATTCATGTGTTCAAATAAATAAATAATAAATAAAATATACCTAGTACCTGTTTCCTAACAACTGCATTACTTACTCGGTGGTCCCAGGATATACGAGCAATGTTGCGAAGACACCTATGATCAAATACTAGTAACCTACGAATATCCTCTACTCTTACCGGCCATGTTTCACTCCCACAAAGTAGAACGGAACGAACTGGTTCACTGTAAATTCGTCCTTTGGTTGGTAGACGGATATCTCGCCTACGCCATAAATGACGCAAGTTGGCAAAAGCTAGTCGTGCCTTCTGATCCGTGCTGAGATCTCCTCACACACTAGTCCACAAGGGCTGATGAGACTCCCAAGATAAGTGAGGCAGTCGACACGCTCAACTACTTCACTCCCTATGATTAGTTCGGGTGTCGAATATAAACAATACAGACTAAAATGATAGTATACGCACTAAGTACTATTCAACTGACCAATAAATTATATTTAAAAACAATGAAATTAAACATAGATACTATCACACACACAGAGAGAGAGAGAGGGTACGAAAAGAAGTAGTTTAACATACCCTTGAATTTACTTATTGTACAAATTCATAGTTAGTCATAAGTAACACATATTGGTTCATGATGTCACTATACTATATCAATACAGTGAGATGAAATGTTCAAGACAAATACTAGAGTACTAGAAATGTTACGATACATTATCAATAATAATAATAGAACATATTAATTATACACAAACTCAATAGTGGTATTCAATACTATATTCATCAAACTAACCACAACCAAACGGAAATATAGAATACTACAATAAGTATCAATTCATCAAATACAAAATCCGAAGTAAAATGAAAAATACTTAAGATTCATTGAAAAATGTTTTTTATATATACATATATAGATAGATACTACTTACAATATATATTAGTAATATAGAACACAAATTTACATGAAGAAGGTTGTGTGTGTTTTTTTTTTTCTTCATATATTTCAACACAAACATTGATTATAAAGAGATACTAACCAAAATACATATACACCATACAAACCCCTTAATTTGTGTAAGGGTTAGAATACTATCTAGATACACAAACTGAAAAAGGTGTTTTATTTTACTTTTACAGTTTTAATAGAAGTTATATTCACATGTAATTGTTTCATGATGTTCATTTAAAAAAAAGAGGATCCTTTCAATTAGAGATTGATGATGAATACTTTGGAAATACATTTTTACATTATAAACATGATGAAAACTAATTGGAAACTAAAAACAAGATTATTAGATAGAAAGAGAAAAAAAGACAAAAAAAAGAGAAAAGAAAAGAAAGAGGGGGCGGGAGAGGGTAGAGAGAGAGAGAGAATATGATTATTGGAATAAATTACGTCGAGGATGTAATCCACGATGACATGATGGATTATGTAATGTTGATTGTTGTATAATTGGTACTATGAATTTAGAAGGGAATAAATTATGATTATTTTTAGATAAATATGTATATGAATGATGATAATTAGTATCAATAGATGATTGTATATTATATTGTAATTGATGTAATACTGGTGATAATGGTATATCTAATGAATTCTCATCCCATAAATGACGTGAATTATTATTATGATTAGGATTATCATATGATAATGGAATAATATGAGATTTTGATGATGATGGTGATGATAATGAAGATGATGGTGAATTCAAATGATTAGGAGGTATATTCTCCGAGTTCTCATGAATATCTTCAGATAATTTAGGATTAGATATACTATTAGATGGTTCATCAATTCCACCAAATAATTGTTTACGTAAAGCAATACACGTTGAATTACTTTGACTACTGTGAATTGTTGTTGTATTATCGATAGAATCACTAAAATTATAAATAAAATACACATAGACCATGAAGAAATGGACAAACAAAGGAAGCTGTTCTTTTTGGATAGGGGGGCAGGTGGAAGGAAGGAAGATATTATCTCGCTGTATTCAACGTTTGTACCTGTTTAATTCAATGAGTCATAAACTTTTGTTGAATATATCTAAATCACTGTCGGCCTGCTTGAATATCTGAGCTACCTGTTCCTGATATCAACGTATCACAAGTTACCTGTCTTTTGTTTGTTACGTATGCCTGAACACCGATTACAACGACGTGCAATGCTGACTAGTGTTGAGGATGGTTGGAAGAAAGTTAGGGGTGGCAAAACCAAAACGTGGCATCAGTCCTTGAAGTTATTAACTACTAGTCTGAGCAATGTTGGTAAATTCAGACTACTTGGTTTGGGTCTGCGCGACTATCGTAACTAATCGTTGTAGACTGTGTGTGACATGACTCAGAATCGATCACAATGGCGTAGGTGTATACACTCTATCTTCCTTTAAACTATGACATTAAAATCGCTTTATATCTTTGTTTCTACTAACTAATTCTTTCTTCCTGTACTATGTTCTCATATGCAATCCACCATTGAATTAACTACTTCTATGAATCCGGTGTGCATTTTGTTTTGCTAATGAGGTATGGCAGCTTGGACCGATGCATATATGTGACTGGTCCTACGCTTATACGAAAAATATGGCAAACATCCTCGGAGCTTTACTAAAGATGTTGATGAATACATAATAGTATATCTTCAACAATTTCTTTAGCAAGACTACATACTTCATGTCAATTACAGAATCTCTAGACAAGAAATAAACTACTGAAAACAATAAGGTCAAAAAAGTATATCTCCATAAGTAGTACAATCTGTGTTACGGTTGAACAGGAGTAGTTATAATGGAAATTCCTGACAGAGGACACATCATTTTGGATGAAAACAAACCAAATAGATCATTATACATACAACATATGAAAGAGAATTATAAATGAAATCAAATATCAACAAAAAAACACGACTTTTAGTATAAAGATACAAATATGTATATGAATCAATGATATTTCTTTCATATACTTACCTAACTGCAATTGAAGGACGATTGAATACATGCAATGGAGCAAATGTTGATTGATGAATAGGTTTAACTACTGGACATGTGGTAAATATAGATGCTTTAGAATTATTGATTATATCAGATTGTTTTGATCACTAATACTAATGGTATTGGCAGAAGTAGTATTAACAGTGGTACTAATAGTAGTATCCGAAGTACCATAGTCACTACTGTTACTGTTAGCAACGGTATTGACGGAACCGTCAGAAATGCAGTTGATATTACGCTTAGGTGCATTTATCAGGTAGTCATCCATGAAATTATTACTACCAAATGAATATGGTGTATGATTTCCAGTCAACTCACCAGAGTTAGGTGATCCAGTGAAAACTTGATGAGTACTAGTGGAACATGCCGTAGTAGTTGTAGCAGCTAATGTGTTCAAACGAAATACAGGAGGTTGTGTTGGTGTACAAACTGGAGATACTTTTCTACGTTTTCTATATATAAGAAAGTTTAAAAGGAACAATGTTAACAATAAATATTATTATTCATTCATATTCCATAGTGATTTTAAATATCCTTAAATTGAATTATTTTCTCTATAAAGCTGAGTATTTATTTATTTATTTGAACACATAAATATTGGTACAGTGGGGCAATGAATACATATACGCCACACAAGTCACTTGGTTTGTGTGTGAGCTGTGATACTGCCCACGTGCTCAAAACGAAACAGGTGGTTCTCTTAGGAAGCTACACCCGGAGCATTCGACTTAAAGGTCTAGTCCACAAGACAGTGAAGTAACGTCAGGAGATGCAGTCGAATGGTAGCCGGTGATCAACAATTGGTTCATACGCCATTTGTTACTTCAGGATAGTGGAGCCAGCCTATGTGCACCATTGGTTTGGAATCAGGGTTTTCCAACTCCCCTAGGTAAACTCTCTGTGTCCACGAACCCGGTTAGAGCGACGGACATTCGCTTTTCGTCCTCTCAATTTTGTAAACAACACTCGTGGTGCGAGAAGGCAGAGTCGGACTTCCCTGACAGGGACTATATACGCGTGGCCATGTTGAGAGCATTTCGAGAGGAAGAGCGGACTCTCCCCACTCTCGGCCGTACCAGAGCATTTGGGGTGTTGATATCGTTTTCAGTGTAATTTTATGTAGGGATTCGAAACATCGGTTTCTTCAGTTAACAACTCTGCTTTGATTGGAACTGGTGACTTATTGCGGTAAGTAGGTATAACTAGCTCAGAGAGTTTGATTACTAGGTTGCTGCTTGGGGTCCAAAAGTTCTTAACTGTTCTTAAACATACTCTGCACAACCAGGAGCCCACCAAAGATGCGAATCGAGACCCTCAAGTCTCCTAGGACAAGTTTGACTGTTCGACTTCAATCAAACTAATACGGCGAGAAGATTTGGTATGATCGGTGACAACCGTTTTACTCCCAACATGACTGAACTTCATCATTCACGACATTTTACCAGAACTTCAGGAACATTTTGAAGTCACTGGTCATCTGAATATTCTAATTTGGTTGAAGAGGTTTTGTAGAGATTGGTTACATCTGTGAGCATTACAGCCTAAAAAATAAAATTTAGCCTTAGATCAAGATACCGGATCACTAAAAAATATCTAAAAATCAAGAAAATGACAGCCAACCAACCTAGACATTAACAACGCTCCAAATTCAGCACCATCATCATCATCATCTTCGACACATTTATCAAATGTGCTAGACACATTTGGGGTAGTTTCATTCAGAAATTCTTCTCTTCCAAGGAACATTGCCTCCTCGTCAAATATCTGAGGTGAAACAATGGTTTCACGTGTATTTGATTGAACGAATCCAGAAGAATGTCTAGTCCGACGACGACTTGTAGTAGTAGTAATGGTGATGGGATGACTATCATCAGTATCTTTAGATTTGTACGTTCTACGTCGAGGAGTAGATCTTGGGAATGAGCCTACTGTATTCAGACTTGACATAGGTTGAACATCGTTTTGTAGAAATGGTTTCATAGTAGAGATAGGGGGAGTTGTAGTAACTTGTGCTGGATTTAGACAGTCTGTATTTATCTGAGTTGTCGTTGTAGACAATTGAGAGCAATTGTTTTTTGCATTCGGAGTACACTTGGGCGTCACATTAAAAATGTCTTATTGTAGAAGAAAAAAAAGAAAAGAAGCCAGGGAAAACAATCTGGATGCATTAGACTATTATTGGGAACCTGGTCTATGAAAGCAGAAGACGTACATAAGCAACAAATAATCCATTATAGTTCACTTTGAAGCATTAGTCGCGTATAGTGGAACTGAATGAACAAGTCGAATGATGAGACTAAAAACTTTCATCAATTAGCAGTAATTAAAGGTATGTTATTTATATTTAACCACCACCTACATTGATGTCCAATGTTAGCTGACAGAAGCAGGATGTCAAAAATTAGAGGGCATAAAGATCAGTACATAAAATCAAGTAATGGAAATCATTAAATGTCGATCTGATGCAAACTTTCTGTTATCAAATCTAGCTTAATACCAATAACCAGAAGTCGGATATGTTATGCTGCAATAGCATGGTGCAAAGTTAAATACAGTGGCATATTTGCACTATTTATTTTTAGTATTTTGTTGATTGCTTTCTTCGTTGTACAATTATGAAATGTGAATACCTGATTCTATACACACTCATGTCACATTCTATCATACTGGTGATAACTGACTAATTATTGCAATCAATGAATTATAGAAACATGATTTATGGTTAAGATTGTAAGTAAAATATGACCTACACCATATGATGGAAAACACGAACAGATCAGTCAGCTACAACGTAGGACCAGGCATATATAGTTTAAGGGAAGATAGAGAGTGTATACACCTACGCCATTGCGACCGATTCTGAGCCATGTCACTCAGAGTCTCCAACAATTAGTTACGATAGTCACGCGGACCCCAACCAAGTAGTCTGCATCTACCAACATGGCTCAGACTACAAGTTAGTGACTTTGTGATGCCACGTTTTGGTTTGGCCGTTTCTAACTTTCTTCCAACCATCCTCAACACTAGTCAGCATTGCGTGTCGTGATGATCGGTAATCAGGAACACGCAACACGTGACCCAACCATCTCAGTCGATGAAGATTCACAACCTCATCAACTGGTTTAACATCATTCCCTAATACCCTATGTTTAACATCATTATTACTTACGCGGTGATACCAACAGATGTGAACAATATTTTTAAGGCATGTGATCAATTACTAGTACCCTACGAGTATCTTCTACTCTTAATGACCACATTGCGCAGCCGTTAAGTAGAACAGAACGAACAGCGACGCAGTATACTCTTCCTTTTATTGATAGACGAATATCTTACGTTCGTCATAGGTTACGTAATTTGGCAAAAGCCAAACGAGCTTTTTGAACCCGTGCTGAGATTTCATTGGACACAAACCCATCAGGGCTGATCAGATTTCCAAGATAAGTGAAGTTGTTAACGCGTTCGACTACTTCACTCCATATCCTTAGTTCAGATGTTGACGCAGACCAGTCCTGAAGTAACAACTTGCATTTAGGGGGAGAGAAGCACATTCCAAACATCCTGACATTGTTGCTTAGATTACGAAATACAATGCTTAGGTCATACAATTTCACCCTAAAACGATTGCTTAATATCAGAATACTAAACAGTATAATAAATAGTAAGTCTATCAAATCTGATATAATATTGCTTCAGATGAGTTTATATATCAACTTACTTTTACGAGGGGTTTTTATTCGTTTTGGACTATGAATCAATTGACTTAATGCTGTATTTAAACGATGATGATCTGATGAAGAAATCATATTGGCTAATAAATTAGAATTACGACGTAGTAAACGTGGAGGTGTTGATTGATTAATATTTTCATTGATAAAATCATTATTTATATGTACAGAATTTGATTGAATATTAGACATTTGTGTTGAGAATTGACTTAAACTAGCTTCCTCTTCCAATTGACGTCGTCTCCAACGTTCAGCACGTGACATTGCCACGGACAGACATGAATCTTTATATTGTATTGGTAGTTCTTGACTGAATTGAAGTGATGATTCGCGAGTTAGTCGATTATTATCTTCATTGTCGTCATCGGAATTAAATGGCAGACTGGAACTATTACTCAATAGTGTTGGAAGACAACCACCACCACCACTGTGAGTCTGAGCTGTTATATTGGCAGCTTCTTGTGCTTCAATGTACAAAAGACTATTTAGCATAGAGTTAGCTCGACGTAGTCGACGTAATGGACTGACTGTTGTTAGCAGTGGTTTTATTGGTGATTCATCTACAATAATTGCCTGTTGAGAAGAAAAACAAAAAAGAAGTAAATCAGTAATGCTCTTAGTGTTTTATACAATTAAACTGTGAACTGATTAGTAGGGATATTTGTGCTTTAACCATTACGATTATATAAATAGTGTGGTAGAACATTGATCGTTAAACAATAATAACATAGTAAAAAAATACTGTTGAATATATGCTAGTAAGTGACTTCTCTTTGTTGAACATATTATGGGAGGTTATTTCCAGTTATCTTACTTTAAAAATGAAGTGAGGTTGTATACATATGGTATTACACTGAAATCATAATGAGAAGAGGCATTAAGAAATGGATTATATAAAAAAGGAGTTGGGATTTTTGTGATCAAATGAATTGAAACAAGAATTAGAATACAAGTATAAATAAAGAACACCAATCAGAGTGGGTTCGTTGAAAAAGAGAAATCTTAGGAGAACAACAACGATTTAACATAAATAGTCTTCAAACTACAAACCTACCACTACCTCGGCCAATAATAAGGTAGTAGGCGGTGATCGAGTATACGTAATACACGTCTCAACTATATCAGTTGGTGAAAATTCCCAGCATTATCAGACAACTTATTGTCTTTTCTTCGCTATGTTTTAGGTAGTTTCACTGACATTAATTTTCTGTTACAGATTAGAACGACAAGATGTAACTATTATTTCTATATTAGTAGCTCAACCTCACTATTTAGTTTCATGCTAATGGCATAGGTTTTGTAAGATTTACGCATAAAGAACTAGTGTACAGTGACGTAATCCGGATTACACTAGGATACACTGGTAGGTGTAAATAAATTTCCAACACCCATGGTTCATAATCTGTAAGCTTTTTAAAAACAGTAAGAGTTTACTTGATATTTTTACAACATAAAACATCTATGCAATGTGTACTAATCGATGTTATTTAAATTATTTATTTAAACACATCAGCATTCGTACGAGGAACCAAACACATATGCAGCACATAAATCATTCTGCATGTGTGAAGGCTAGAATGCTGTCCTGGTGCCCAAACCGAAGCAGGTGGTTTTTTTAGGGGGCCACATCCCGAGCCTTCGGCCTAATTTATTTATTTATTTATTTGGACATATAAACATTGATACAAAAGGGCACCGAATATATATGCGCCACACAAAACAATGGGAATTCGAAGAGGAGAAGGAAAAAAGGTGAGGAGCGTTAAAAAAAGAGCAATAACGAACAAAATAAGATAAGGTAGCGTAATAATAATAACAATGGGGGAAATGAAAAGGTACGATCAGAAGAAATCTTTCAGTTAAGGAAGAAGCAACCACTTTTTATGGAGAAAGTAAAAGGTTACAGCAGGATCGCCACTAGCTTTCATTCTGAGCCATATCTGATAACGTCTCTAGCCACTGTGTTGCACCATCTCTCGGACCCCAACCAGGGAGTCGTGAAGGACCAACAGAAGCCAGTCCTTTGCAGACTTCCTTCATGCCACGACACCATGTCATGCACTGACCACCTCTCCGCTTCTTCCAACCAGTCCCAGAGTCGGCAAATAATGCACGACGTGGAATTCTGTGGGACGACATTCGTAGAACATGTCCAAGTCACCGACGTCGGTGTTTCAAGATGGTGACACCAATTGCATTATCATTTCTGTGCCCGAACACACGATGCCGAACCTCTGCATTACTAACATGGTGTTGCCACTGGAAGTCAGCAATCCTTCGGAGACGGCGATGATCGAACACAGAGTCATCTAACGTCCTCCACTCGGAGAGACCAGGTTTCACAATCATAGAGCAAAACTGCTCTCACCGACGCGTTATAGATCCGACCCTTTACAGCTAGACTGACATCACGAAAGCGCCAAAGATGGCCCAGATTGGCATAAGCCGCTCTTGCTTTTACTATACGTGCATTGATCTCATCACTCACGCCACTACCAGTACTTATGTAGCTACCCAGGTACACGAACTTCTCGACTACTTCTATCTGCTCATCATCCAGGGTGAGTACAGGATTAGAATCCTGCCAGTCTTGTAGAAGTACTTTGCACTTCGAAGGTGCAAAGCACATACCATACATACGGACACTGATTGTCAACTGATTAAGTGCGGATTGCATGCCTTGGGCATTATCGCACAGTAAGACAATATCATCCGCATACTCAAGGTCGAGAAGTCTTTCTCCAGGCAACAGATCCACACCACCATTACTTACATCCATCAGAGCTGTTTCCAGAATGTCATCGACGGAAAAGTTGAAGAGGAATGGTGAGACTGGGCAACCCTGCCTAACCCCACTGCTTGAATGGAACAATGGAGAGAGGTGGTTGTATGCCCTCACTCTGCCTGAGGTGTTTGTATATAGGGCCTTTAGGATGTTAATAAAATTCTCAGGCACACCCTTCTTCAATAGACAACCCCAGAGAACAGTCCTGTCCAACGAATCGAAGGCAGCCCTGATGTCAAGAAACACTACGATTGTTGACGGTGTTCTAACACTTGGCGGAGGGTGAAGATATGATCAATACATCCTCGACCAGAACGAAACCCAGCCTGCTCCTCGCGAGTCAATCTTTCTCGGGTTTTGAACAACCTACGAAGTATGACGAAAGCCAATAGCTTGGACACAATCGGAAGTAGACTTATCCCCCGATAGTTGTTACAGGAACGACGTGAACCCTTTTTAAAGATAGGGATCCTGGAACCCATGTGCACTATTGGTTTGGAATCAAGGTGTTCCAACTCCCCTAGGTGAATGCTCTATACCCACTAACTCAGTTTAAGGACCAAACACGCGCTTTTCATCCCCTCAATTTTGTAAACAATACTCCCTGGTAATGGCTGTATACGCGTGGCCATATAAAAGCATTTTAGGAGGGAGCGAACTCTCCCCACCCTCAGCCTTACCAGAGCATTTTTACTGTAACATTTTATGAAAGTATTATTACATAAGTGATGATTTCGTTAAGAGATAATTTTTTCCAATCTAAGGAATTCACTGAATAAGGGAACGAAGGGATGTCAGTAGATCAATTTCCTCCCCCCATGGTAATCAGTGTCTGACATTTCGAATTCTCGAGTGCATAGGGATAACTAATTTGGAATTAGTATTTGGCAAATTTATAAGAGTCTACTATAATTGCGTCTACTGATTTCGCCTAAGTTTCCAACATTTGTGATTACTCCTTACTACGTAAATTAGTGAAAAGGACTTCGATTTACTTTATTGACAGGTAAACATAACTTTTTCAACCACGTTAATCTCAAAACAGAGGAGTAAATCTAGTTAAAAGAGAAAGATATAGCTACAAAAATCCAAATGATTTTTTGTAAAATGCACAGAAATATACCTTATTTTTTGTTTTCTCTGCTGCAGCCAACTTGGCGCGTTCCCAGCGAGGATATGATTTCTCTGGATTAGGTGTCTCGTGTACTGAACGTCGATGATTACGTTTTGAATCGGTATTCGCCTTTCTTTTAGACTCTCCTCTTGTTGAAATGGGCGTTTCTGATAATGTCGACTTTGGTTTTACGCTATTAGCGTTAGGAGACGTGATAGTATGTGAACGTGATCGATTTGAACTCCTTGGAGTACGAGCTGACGTTGAAGCTGGAGTTCGTTTTGATGAATTAGCTGAAGAATGTCTGTGTCTTGTAGTAGGTGTTGTGCTAAAAGATTAGACATAAGAATAAATTTTAAATGAAGACTTTGACAAACTAAACAAATAACGGAGGAAATAATATTAACATCTGACCAATTGGAACATAAAATGTCCGCTCCCACATAACAGGAGGGTAGATGACGATGAATTAGTTGTTTTAGTTTTTAATTTGAAAGTCGTTAGTAAGCAACCTTCAGTAAGTCTTTGAAATATCAATATATTTTGAAAATTTCATCCAGTGATGCCATTAAAATTACCATAAATACAGAGATCCCTGGTAGCATATTATATTTTGTATTAATTGTGACAGATCTAAAACGTTTACTTGACAGTTATGATTTGCTTTTAAATTAAACTGGCTACTTGGGATTGTGTGGCAATTGAATGTATCTATTTTATTATAATAAATATTTTTATGCACAATAGGTAAATTAAGAGGCCAAAACAAAATACTTCTGCCGTAAAAAAATAACCAAAGGTAACCAATTTTCAATTCTGTATTTTATACATTATGCTATAAAAATCATTGAGTGAAAAGTATCATAAAAAAATATTATACTAACTTTGTTGGCTTCTTTCGAGCTTCTCGTTTTACTGGTATGCGTTTCGTTGGAGTTCGGCATTTTCGTTTCGATCGTTGACATGGTATAAGTACTAGATGAGGAGTTGGTATGGTTTTACAAGACCGATATTTGCTAGATGACTCTATGTTGACAGGACACGAACTAATAACATTGGGTAAAATTGGAGTGGATGTCAAGGGATTAGGAGTTTCATTGGACGAAAGTGAGATGTGTACTGAATCAGTAAACAAAGCACGTGGAAGCGATTGTCTAAGGGTATTGCGTGGTACTGGTGAAGGTTGCATGACATTTGATGGTCTATTATTTACAGAAAATAATAAATGGAATTTGAATTAATTTTCAACAAATAATTCCTGGCTAGAGGTAAGATAAACTAGACTTTGATCAACATTTGCTTCAAAAATTCTTATTAAGTGAAGTGTGTCCGAGTATATTACAAACCTGAAAATTTGAGTGTTTTATCTTGCACCCTATACTAGACTTACCTGATGATAGTATTAAAAACAATTGTCTTGATCCAACAGCTACCAACTGCCTCCAAATGCCCTGGTACAGCCAGGGGGTGAGGAGAGTTAGCTACCCCTCTCGAAATGCTCTAACATGGCCACGTGTATACAGCCTCTGCTAGAGAAGTGCTACTAACTGCCTTCTCATGGTGGGGGTGTTGTTGACGAAATTGAAAGAACGAAACGCGAATGTCCGGTGCTTTAACCGATTTGGTGGATATGGAGGATTCACCTAAAGGAGTTGGAAAACCCTCATTCCAAACCAATGGTGCACATGGGCTGCAGGAACCTGAGGGGATAAATGGCGTATGAACCAACTGTTGAGCACTGGCTACCATGGGGCTGCATCTCCTGACGTTGCTCCACTGTTTTATGGATCAGACCCATAGATCAAATGCTCCGGGTGTGGCCCCCTGAGAAAACCACCTGCTCCGGTTTTGACACCCAGTCAGTACTCCAATCTACATGCGAACTCAATGTGTGGCGGATATATATTCCGATGATTTTGTACCACTGTTTATTTAAACAAGTAAATAAGTCAAGCACCTTATGTTTGGTGGATGGTGGATGGTTCTCCTGGAAACGGGATTGAGTTGTATTATTTGGGCTACAAATTTTAAGCCTGGGTAGTGTCTGGATTTCCTGAGAAACGGGATTGCGCTGTATTGTTTGGGTTGTCACGTGAAAGTCTGGATGGTGTCCGGTTCTCCTGAAAACCAATTTAAAATTACCCTGGCCCACAATGGCATATTATATAACTGATATATTATATATAACCTTATGTTTACCCTAGAATTTTTTGACACAACCTGTCTCATAAACTACGTCTGACTATCGAAGTGATAACGGTGTTGGTAAAATTGCTTTACCCGCTTCTTCTAATCAAACAGTCCACACCTCAGTAATTTATAAGACTAATTTTACAATAATATCATTTAAAAACCGATTGTGGGCCTACACTTGGATTAGTTTGCGCTTAGTATCACAACAAGCGAATTTCAGTTTTTTCGGTTATATCAACCTAGAAGCTAAGTAGTAACACCGCGCTGGATCTGTTAACAGATTCTGTTGGAATTAATTGCTGACATTAAATAAATTTCTAAGTATCTGTAGGAACACCCTTTTAACTGAAGATAATCTAGCTTAAGGGCAGGTGTAGATACATGAGATGAAACTTGAAATCCGTCATCATTTACTTGATTAACCTCATATAAATTTCAACAAACGGTTGTTGGTTACCCACGACTGATACCAAATAAGTCACCATGATGCACTATGATAGCTTTTTGGTCAGTCAGTCAGCCACAACGTAGGACCAGACACATAAATGCATCGGTCCAAGTTGCCATACCTCATTAACACAACAAGATGGACACCGGATTCATAAAATTAGTTAATTCAGAGGAGTTAACATAGAAAAGAAATTGCGATAAGGATATAGTACAGAAAGAAAGATATGAGGCGTTTTTAATGTCTTAGTTTAAGGGAAGACAGAGTGTATACACTGTCTACGCCATTGTGATCGATTCTGAGCCATGTCACCCAGCGTCTTCAACCATTGGTTACGATAGTCACGCGGACCCCAACCAAGTAGTCTGCACCTCCCAGCATGGCTCAGACTAGAAGTTAGTGACTTCAAGCACTGATGCCATGTTTTAGTAGTCAAGAAACGTCACCATACACAGAAATAACACTAAAAATATTTGGCTATTCGAAAAGGTTATTATCCTGATCTGTGTACAGAACCGTACATCATTATAATAAAGTTTGCAAAACGGCTGAAATCGGTTATATATCACCACAACTGAATCCGGTGTTCATCTTATGTTAATGAGGTATGGCAACCTGGACCGATGCATATATGTGCCTGGTCCTACGTTGTAGCTGGCTGACTGACTGACTGACTTATGGTTAAAATAGTGATTCCTCAACTTAAGTCTGCACCTTGCTTGTGCTCCAGATAAGAATTATGTCACTTCATGGTTGGGAGTGTTGTTTTTCTTTTCTACCTTTTATTGACCACTAATTAAATATGTTAGGTCATTATTAACAAACTTTATGATTACAACCGAGTTTGCCAACTCAATTGAATGATCATGTTGAGGTTGGCACAAACGTTTCGGAGACCTTATTCATTAAAGGCTAACAGCTCAACGGTATTAAATTAAAAATATTGAGGATAAGGGATGATATACAAATTAAGAATTCTGTGATGGAATTGAAAGTACTTTTCAAGTTTACTTGACGAAAGACGGGGTAGCAATTTGCTATGAAAGTTAGACAATTAGACGATAGATGGGGAATGTTGAAACCGAACAAGTAGAAGTTTTAGGATGATTAGATGGGATTTTCCAAATACCAGAGGAGTCTATTATGTTTATAATTATGGACCCCAAGACAAGGTGTTTACGACTTTTAATACAAGCAAGAGTGACATAAAAGGAAAATTATAGTGTCAGGACTATTCATTAAGCAGAAGTTCAGAATGACCCATCTAAAGATACGCCACTAGAAGATAGTGTGATAGCGAATGCAGAGTTTAACACAAAAATTCACCATTTAAAGATATAAAACTTTAAGGGATGAAGATGAACAACATTATTAGGCGGGGAAGCTAAACTTGATTTACAGGATTTATTACGATTCAAAAACCAACAAGGAAAGAGTTGAGTCAACAGATGGTTATGAACTACATTACTGGAGGCCTTGCTTTACTGATTCCTAACACCATGATTCCAGTCAGAAACACTTCATTTTTACATGATTCAAGTTAGGTCGCTAACCTGACGAAGAAATACAATGTTTTGATAATAAAAAAAGACATGATGTGAGTAATGGGTCAGGTGCAATTCTCGGTCATTCACATAGCTGTAACATAAATCCAAGGAACATGTGACTAATTTCAGTAATCTACCCATACTAAAGCAGAAAAGTTTAAAGTTTTCCTATAATTTTTTGGTTCAAAGTGTAAACATGGTGCATGCTCTTTTAGGAATCGATAAGAATATAATCTGGGGAGGGCGTGGTTTATCGAAATCGCAACTAGAATTGCTTAAATAGGAACTTTAGTCATCATTAACACAAAGCAATGGTTAAAAGTGCTGTAGACAGTAAAAAAAAGACAGAACATACTGGGGTGAATTTGGTATGACCCCATCGAGTTCATCTACATTTTCCTCTAGAGTACGTGATTCCGATGTAAGTTCCGTATCATGGGGTAGGCACTCAGGAGGTTCCAAACCAAGATTGATGTAGACATGAAATAATGTGCGACCAAAGCCTGTCTTGTACCTTTAAAGCAATTAATTGATAGAGAAATTACCTATCGACAACTTCCAATTTCAGAAAGTTTTTCCATTCATTCCAAGTAGGATCACATAAGCTAAGCCGGCTGATTAGTTCCGAAATCTAAACCGATAAGATAACCATTTTATTTACCCAGTCACCAAGTTCATGATCAGCACACATATCACCTTCTTCAAACGAGCATAGAAGACGAGTATGTAGGATTAATAAAATTTGGAATTGTAGCCTGGAATAGTTAGGGAATAACTGACTTACTCTCTAGACAATTTTTCGTTTCCATTGTCTGAAGAATGCTTTTCTAGAATCTCCTTATACGACAGCTTCATTTCGCTATCTACGCGTTGTACCAGAGACTAAAAAGGTGATTAACAACTAGCGGTGGTACTTTTTTCTCTTCAGGTGATAAGCTTATACTTATTTCCGATAGCCGAGTAGTAAATTCAAGTACTGTAATTTCACCATTTTCAACAGCGTTATCGAAAAGACTTTTTATGGCAGAGAAATGACAATTTGAGGTCGACATTTCAGGTCACAACTAAGTACAGAAACACTCCATTTGCGGATTTCAAAACGGTCCCATCGCTTGAATGACCTTTAGCATCTAACGAAATTCAATCATTTGAAAAAGTTTGAATTTTCTCTCAGTCACAAAACAATGTTTTGTGAGGTAGAAAAAAAGTGATGTCCTGTGTTTAAATCGAGTATTTCAAGAAATATTTTACTTCATTTAGCATGTGGTTGCCTGAACAATAGAGATTTCAAAAAATCAAACGCTTTCTATGAAAATTAAAGTTTCAGTTTTCAGTTTGAATTTGGAAAGGACAGGAGGCTTGATGGCCTGTGTTAGTCCTGGCAATGGTGGTCTTTTAGTTGATCCAACTTTCTTTTGAAAGAGTGGACGGATGGAGCCTCAACCACGTGCTGAGGCAATGAATTCCACTCGTTGATGTTTCGATGGGAAAGACGATAGTCAGCTGGCAAGTAATCTGTTCTGGGCTTGTGAACATTTTGGAGTGTCTTCGTAAATTCTCTGTTTTGGAAGACAAGAAAAATGAAGGCATATCAAGTGCAAATTTATCACTAAGCAATTTGAAAACTGAAATCAAGTCGCCTGTAGTTCTACGGTATGACAACGGGAATAGGTTTAGCTTTGCCAGTCGAGCATCATACGGAAGCTTTACTATTCCGGGAATCAGCTTAGTTATTGTCCTCTGAACCCTTCTATGGTATATACATTGCTAAAGTAGCTTGAGAACACTTGAGCCCTACCAAAGTCGTCCTCCACTAATGATGAAGCAGTACTGTCTCCCCACAATGCTGGAATACTTCCTCTTCTTTTTGTCCTTTGGTTTATATCCGAATACAAGCGTTCAGGACATTCTGTGGATTCCTTAACAATTTTTTCTTCGTACAACTTTCTATACTTGCGGAGGGTCGAGGCGTAGGTATTCCGAGCTTTTCGATACCGAGATTTCGTCTCGTCAGTCCCCAGTAACCTAAATCTATCCCACATTTTTCTTCTCTTACGGAGGATGATGCGGACCTCCCTACTGAACCATGGTGGAGAGTTTAGCAACCCCCTTGGTACAGCTCAAGGGATGTGGAGTGCGGTAACTTTTAAGTAAAAATTTCGAAATGCGTCCCAAGCTGTTTCAGTTGGGGACCCTGGGTCTATTGTTCAATCTACTAACAATGCTGAGTGCATAATATCTGGTATGTTTGCTTTCCAGACGTTAGGTCTGTATTGGGCTGACACGTGCTCGTGACCGGCATTTATATGTAAGTCAAAGATTAAAACTGCGTGATCACTTTTACCTAGAGGTGGCAATGTAATGAAGGTTCGCAACGTCATCCTCATAGTGAGTCAATATAAGATCTAATCAGGATGATTCAATGTCCGGGTCGTACCTAGTCGCTTCTTTCACATGTTGCACTAGGGCACATGTGACAACTATATTAAATAGTTCCTGCTCGAAGGAATTTTCTGACGATTCAGTTCGCAGATTTTCCCAGTCTATCATAGGTGCGGTAAAGTCCCCTAGGACTAGACATCGACCATTTTGTGACCAAGTATTGAGACTGCTTAGCAGGACCTCATTTACCGCACAGCTTGGACTGTGATAGACCAAACCAATCATCAGCGCTTGTCCCTTGCATCTCAAGCGGCAACTAACTTTTTCGCACGTCTGTTGAGGTGATTTAGAAAATTTCTCGCAAAAGGCAAGCAAGGATCAGGAAACACTAAGAAGCATTTCATCCAATCAGCGTCCACTTGAAGTTTTAGCCAAAAACACTAAGGAAGTGAAACGTCACATGAAGAGGTTCTAATTGGCTGATTTCTATACTGCTACTATGTTTAGTAGCATTCCAGGATCTTCTAGCAACCCAAGGACATTTAAAATATCATAAAAACCCTATATTTTCTGTAATGGAATATTATAGGTGGCCTGCTTGGGCATCTGGGCGACCTGTTCCTGCCATCTAGATATTTCGACAAGTTATCTAATGTTGTTTGTTTTAATATATCATGATGTCTATTAATCGCATAACACATCCTGGTGCATTTCTGAAGTGTACAACCTTTCGTTGTCAAAGTTACAAAAAGCCCAATAAGAGATAGTGTGGTCGCTGGCAATATGCAGAGAAAAGAATATACATTATTCAGATGTTCGTTTACTGGACTGCTAACATCTAACTGGTGATCGCTCAATATTTATCGTCAGGATCGACCAAGAAGAAAGAAACGGAAACTTGTTGAAATACTTTTTGCTGAGAATTCTATATTGTACCAAAAATATAATATTAAATAAAGCTTTTAATAATAATAATAATAATAACCTTTGGAGTAAAATACTTCTCGCATACTTTGCGCCTTCTCTCTAGTGCTTATGTTGCTGTGTAGTTTTAGCTTGGGTGTTACAAAATAGCTTAGGAAAGGAATATAGCGTTCAATTTGCAAGACTTATCTACGTTCCACTCTCATGAGATGCATTATCGATAATGGCAAATGGGATAGCATTACTAATGAATAGAGCTACTCCCCCCCATTTACGCTTTTGTATTCTATCGGCCCTTACTAACGTAAAACCCTCGAAACCAAGTTCCACACTATATACAGACTGTGTCAGCCAGGTGTCTGTGACTGCGGTTATGCCTGACTTTGTAGAGTCAGTTTGTACACCTAGTTCCGATCGCTTATTGAGCAGGCTTCGGGTATTACTGTAACAGATCCGAAGCCTATTTAGATGGCTTCGTGCTTCACCCAGAGTGGCTTCGGCACCATTCTCTGTCGAAGCCTTACAACCCGAAAACCTACAAATTTTATGTCCTTTTCGTCAGCATCTAACCTAAGTTGTAGATCTTTTTCGGCTTCCCGTCTTTTTACACGGTCTGCCAACGGCAAGTCCTTACGGTTAAAAATTCAGAACCCTTTAATTTATGTCCATTCTGTAAAATTAATTCGCGTTCGTTCGAAGGTCTGAATCCTTTTTTAAGCAGTCTGGATTGATTAGGCTTCAAGTTCGCTACACTTCCTAGTGTATATACCTCTAGCAAGGTGACTCCAGGGATATTTTGAGGCACGAGTCGATTGAGTAGCTGTTTTATCTGAACAATGTCATGCTGAAAACGAGTTCTTGGTTTAGAGCTTTCACTCTTCTTGATTCTATGAAAACCAATTGATCTGTCACTGTGAACAGCCTTCGATTTCCCGACTACTTTTATGGGGGCAGGATTCCCTTTTATATGGTTATGTTATTTCATACTTACAACCTGTGCCCATTCGTCAAAGTTGGTTGAAGTAGCAACCACAGTTGTGTCAAACATGCTTCGGGATTCCGGAGGGTTGTCGACGACTTGAGAGGTCAGGTTATGTTTCGCGCTTGAAACCGATGGAGCCCTGCGATCGCGGCTTCTAGGTGTTTCCTTCCGGATACCATTTAGAAGACGGGAGATAGAAGAAAATTGTTTTCTTGAGTTTTTGGCTAAGACAGACCTCTCTGAAAACTGTTTTTCCTCATTTGGTCGGTGTGAGTCATCTGTTTTGAACTCACCTGAGTTTGCTTCACACCAATTTGGGTGTTGACAGAGCGAGTACTGCCCGATGTATCCCGACCACGCTTGCCAAGACACTTTTTGCAGCATTTACCAATTAGATGGCCTCGGTTTACAAGCTGTTTGCATCAGAACATCACTGTTGACAAATACATAAGCAACAGTTTTTACTGAACCGTTTAAAAGCCGCAGACGTTAAATTCGTGCAAACTTCGTGGCACCATCCTTTGCACTCATCACACCGAATGCTGCTCTCAACGGGATAACGACAGCCCGGACGTTGGCAATCACTTTTTTTGCACTGTCCAGTCATTAAACAGATGCAATAATACTCAGAGACAAAAATGATCTATAACCAAAAAAAGTAGAAAACTGGGGATTGTTAGAACCAAAAGTATTAACAGATACAATAGAAAGCAAAGCACTTAAAAGTACCGACGACAAACTACTTTGGAAACAGAAACGCTACTAGTGTTATTTTGAAACTTAACTCAACGAAAAACACCGTCCTTAAACGCAGTGACCTATTCGGTCTATGAGGGTTGGATCAGCCACTACACGTGATCAAGTCGCGAAACAGATTAGAAAAGAAACTGTGCTACGTATGAGAGAAGTCGCTGGATAATGAAGTTTGGTCAGAGGCACTTCTGGGCAGTGCGTTTTATCCAAGCCGTCCCTATTACACTACACTATGACGCTTTAGACTGACAATCAGATTCAGGCGGTCACTAGGACCCCAAGCATTCATTCTGTCAAAGAAAAATCTCGGTCGATATAAGATAACTCTTTCACTCATTTTTTAGCATTTATCATGGTTCTTCACAGTCGAGAACTCCTTAAAAAAGCCCATCAGGTAAAAGACCTGTTTCTAGATGGCGAGAAACAAATAGCTTTATTTGGCGCCGCAATATTTTTATTGCCTTCCATAAATTTCTGGAAGTCCTGCATTTTTCTCAACCTTAAACATTCCAAGAAACCCCCTACGAATGCCAGTGATCGTCTACAAATTCCAGTCTTCATTTTGGGGGCACGGAATTAAAAAGCTACCGTCAATTCTGATGAGAGTCATGGTTACCTTAACGTGGGTTTGTAGTGGTATTGGTTGTTAACCACGCGATTCAGGAAGCTGAACATTACTGAGAAGATTGACACTCAACATGTGACAATTTGAGGATGTCGGTAATGATGAGTTCGGGAAGATTCATTCAAGATTTCATGACTTGGCCACGCAGACGTGGTCACTATGAAAAACCTACTGGATCTTGTATTAAATGTATTACTTTCTACGCAAAGATCTTTTGGGCACATAAGTGTTGTGAATATGTAGTGGCATTGGACAATAACCACACAATCCACAAAGCTGAACACGAGACTACTCACAAAATAGATATTCAATATTTAAGGCGGAGAAATACCTGACGATGGGGAAGGCGCGAACAAGGAATTGAATGAATTGGAGTTGAACGGATGGCATGGATCGGCCATGCAGGCGTGGTCCCTGCTGAATATGGCCTTATATTCATATTAAATATATTGTTCCTTCTCTAGCCTAACCTTG